CTTTGGGCAACTGAAGTTGCTCACCAGAACAGGCACTGCTGCTGATGTCTCGAAGTGCTTGGTCGATCCACCATTCTCAAAACGTTTAATGCGACAAGTTGATCAGAATTTTGAATGACTGGCCACGCTATTGCCCTTGCCCTGATCGATTTATTTTTCGCTCTTTCGACCTTTGGATGAGTGTTTTTTGAAATATAGCGGCCGCTCGCACTACGCTTTGTCGCCTTAATGGAGGATTCTTGTAATTCTGCCTTCTCTATAGGCGGATTGCTCACAAGGGCATGTTTGCTCGGATTTCTTGACTTCGGTCTGACTATCTTGTTCTGATCTTTATGTGTGCAATGTCTCAATGCTTCATAAGCCGCAGAAAGGTCTAGGTGTCCGTTGCTAGAGCTGGCATTTGAATACCATGCCTCAAGTGTGAGTTGTTCTGCTTTTGAGAAGCTTCGACCTAAGACGGGCGCTCCTTTAATATTAAAAGTGTGGCCAGCTTGTGAGTTTAAGCCTAGGCTCCGAGCTGTCAGTTACTGCTCCCATGGGCGGCTCTGCTATTTTCGTCCAGTTTTCCCTGACGTAGTTGCAGTCCCTACCAGTGTAACATATTTGGTAGAAGAGTGTTGTCACGACTGAATGTAATAGCACTAGACAAATGAGGAGTTCGCTGATAATGCTGTCTTCCTCGGTTACATCGTGCCCAGTGTCAGTGATTAAGAAATGCGTTTTCTACTATATTTGCTCTTAACGACTCTGTGAAAATATAAAGGAAAACTTCGTTATCTCAGATAAGTAGACAACTTATGCGGTTAATTATATAAAATTGGTGCTTTTGGAGATTAAGGCTTATTTAAGTGGATTTCACGGTATTTGATTGGATACCTACTTAAAAAATGGTTTCATAATAGCCGTCTGGTCATAAGGGCCGAATTCTTGCATCCTTTCTCTAACTAGGTACTGAGAAAACCTAAATGTTCCCTGTGAATCGTCCTAATGGGCATATAATGGTATCTTGTTAGTGCGTGATGAATAAAATTGCCATTCTATTTGGTTGTGGACTGTTTCCTTTCTTCTAAGCACTGTTCTATGGTTAATAGTTTTCGAAAGTGTGGCCTGGCTATTATCGAAAATGTTAGCTGACGACTTACGTGGCAGCCCTTCGGCTGCCAATTTTCGTATGCTTTCGAAATCAGTGTCAGACGGGAAATGCCTTGACATCGTAATGGCACGATTTGACACAGAAAAATGAAAACATGTCCTGTGTTCCGGTATATATTTATGTTTATGGTCCTAATTCTCGGTGCAGTAAAACAAAATAGTATAATACAAATGTATTAATGCATTTTGTGGGAAAAAGCGCTAGAAATTTGCAAAAAAATAATATCTAAAATTGGATCCTTTCCTGGTTTCTCAAAAATACTATGGTTCCTTACACTTGCTTTGATCTAATTTTCCTAGATTTTAGATCACATTTTCCGGTTCCAGAAGGGATTTAGTTGAAAATTTTTTTGCTTATATTTGCGTTATTTTATAGCACAACACACAATAAAAGGGTTTGCTCTATCATACTAAATATCATAGGACATTTCTTCGATATCCGGCCACCTCTGATTTTGTCAAAATTCTGCCTATTACCCTCAGATAAAGTGAACTAAACATGTTTTGTATAGTAAAAAGCCTTCTGAAAATCAACTCCACGCAATAGATCAAAATAACGAGGCCACATGTACGCCAAATTATCTGCTCAAATTTTGACCATGTCTTTGCTCTGCTCTTCACACATTTCCTTCACATCCGAAGATGACCTAGTGTGCCAGCGTCCAAAATTTACAATGAAGTTGTTCCTGTTTCCCAAAGAATCTTTTCTACCAAATTATATTTCTTGGGATGCCTATTTTCAAATTCACTTACTGTGTGTCCAAATTCGACTACAATTACTATTTCTTAGATTATCATCTCAGAGTAACTTACTACGGGATAAAGTGCTGACGTTCGACTAAGTACTACGTTAGTCACCCGTGTAAGTCATGGGAAGAAAAATAAAATTTGAAATATGACTTATCCTGATGGATTTGTAGGTAATTACGCTTTAAGCTTTTGAGCTTGAAGGCAGGGATCACTCCAGGTGTCTAAATTTGAGCATATTTTACTACGCAAGCTGTGTTTTCAGTCGTTCCCCCGGTTTGCTATAAGAAGACCTCTTGTTAGTCTGAAAATATATTACTACCGACACGGATCACGCATACTTTTAAATAATAGTAGTACACCTGTGGATATTAGACCGTCCTAATAATAGCAGGACTACTTACAGCCGAGCTATGCAAGGTCCGAAAAATTGGTTTCCGGAAGGTACTGAAACGTTGGTGCATCATTTCTGGGGAATATGAGCTTATTTAGATCAATTGTGGAAACCAATGAAAAAAGTAAATAATACAGTCAAAGTTTGGCCGATAGTTTTGTTTAGATTGATCCGTTTTTGTATGAGAGAGAGCGAGCCAGTAAGAGCATGCCACCGCGTATGCATTGATCCCACAGATTAAGTATTTACGTATTTGTTTTATCTGAACGTATATTCAGGGGCGACAGCTACTGCAACCGATAGAGCCGTTAAAAGTTTTAGTCAATAATTAGCGAGCTTTGGCCTCAAATGTAGAAAACCTCGGTTAAGGAGGTTAATCCGTTCTAGCACCGAGCTCTTCATGGAAAACAATCCTCTTGCGAAACGTAGCTAATAAAACCGCATCAGTTCACTGATTGGCTGCAGGCGACCGAGGACCCACGCTCTGGGAGCAAGACTCTACAGCGGACACAGACA